AAAACACTCCCAACTTGCTTTTCTGGATTTCATTCCTATTGAATGCAAGAATGGAAGCTGGAAATTTCCTTAACTTGAAATCCTAACTGAGTAGAAATGAAGATCTGCAAAAATGTCTTAATTGGGATTTTTTTCCTAGCTAGGGAAACAAGGAGAGTTCCCTGCTGGAGCTGTGCTGTTCCCTCCAGGCTGCTCTGGGGCAGGAGCTGCACGGCCAAAGGGAGGCACAGGAGGCTTTGGGTGTTTCTGTGCTTCTCAACTTGGCTGCAGAGCAGGAACAAAGACATTCATTGGTTCCTGGCCCTGCACAGAGCCCTGTTGTGGTTGGTTGTAAGTGGAGCTGGAGGTTTCCATCCTTTTCTCCTTTTCTAATGTGCAGTGAAGAGAAAATTCATAAATAAACAGCTCCAGCTGTTCTGCCTAAAGCTGGCTGAGCAGAGAATTAAGGAGTGAGGGGGGAAATCCTACCACTGGTGCCTTCATTTGAGTTTTGTCTGCACTGGAATTGGCATCCTGTGCGTTTTCATTTGTGCTGCACTGCCTGAGCTGCTGAAACCCTGAGCCACGTTTGTGTTCCCCTTCCCTGCAAACAGCCAGGTGGATTTTTTGGGACTCCAGAGAAGGAGGACAATGAAGCTGTCAGGGTGAAACATTGTCAGCCCTATGATGGCTTCACCTCATGCCCAGTGCCTGTTATTCCTTCCCTGGATGTGCCAAAAAAACCCCAAACTGGGTAGGAATGCCAGTTTATAAAATCAGAAAATTAAATGGTTTGTGTTGGGAGGGATTTTAGAGCTCATCTCATTCCAACCCTGGAGCAGGGACACTTTCACTATTCCAGGTGCTCCAGCCTGGCCTTGGGCACTGCCAGGGATCCAGGGGCAGCCACAGCTGCTCTGGGAATTCCATCCCAGCCCCTGCCCACCCTCCCAGGGAACAATTCCTGCCCAAAATCCCATCCATCCCTGATTTTACCCTAAAACTGTAGATGGGATCTGTATCTGGTTCTCTTTGCTTCACAAACCCTCTCTCCAAGTGACTTCCCAAGTCCAGTTGTTATTGCCATAAAAATAAATCTGAAGTAGGTACAGAGGTGTATAAAAGTAAAGTTGAAGTTGACTTGTTGGCCAGAAAATCAGAAATACCTCCAGCAATTTAAAAACAAAGCTCACCCCTTGTAACACCTCCCATCCCACAGCTCTGTGCCCACAATCATCTCTTTGGGATTTAAATTTCCACAGATGTTGAATTTTAGGACTGTAATGGAGTTAAATTTCTGTTTTGTTGGTTGGAACATCAAGGCCAATTGCTGAGCCTCCATTAGGGACTGAATCTTGGCTTTTTCCCAGGGAAAAATGGGAATATTGGTATTTTTACCCACCTGTAGATAATACATGCACTGTTCCTGCACGTGTCACAATTGGCCGTGTCCTGGCCGGTCCGATAGGAAAGCCTGCAAAGACAAGAACATGGCATCAGTAAAAAAGTTATTTATTTTAACAAGTTTTGCCCTTCCATGAGCATTTTCATAATATTCCGAATTTCAGGATTATTTTTTACCTTGAATATTGAATACAAAAATTCAAACATTAGGAAAATAGCGCCAAAAATTCAATTTAAATTGAGAAATTACTTCTTTGGGGTGGATTAATATTTTCCCCACTTTCACTCTACCCAAACTCTGAGCATTAAGAAATAAATCAAAACACAAAATCCATTCCATCAGGAGGAGTATACAGACTATAATAATGCAACATAAGGTCTGTTTAGGAATTTTGTGCCTCTCAGTGAGGTCTGAAGATTTGTTGTAGGGATGTTTATGTGTTAAAAGGAAGAAAATGCCTTTGAAATGACATTTCCTGTGCTCCCTTAGCCTGCAGCTGTGCTTTGTCACACTCTGGTTTGAAGTCTCTTGCAGCAGTGACTTCTCATTTACCTGTGCTTGTCTCTGCCTTGGTCACTTTAATTTAAAAAGTGACTTTTAAGGTGTGCAGGTACTATTTAGTACATAGAATTTTCATTAAAATAAATATATTTCATTAAAACAGAACAGTTGCCTGTGAACATGAATGTTCTGGCATGCAGATAAGTTTAAAATGAAAATTGTTAATTCAATATTTATGCTTTGGTACTTAGATTTTTCTTTGTAAAATCACAAATTTAGACTCTTTTGAAGTTAATCTCAGTTTGTTACATACAAACAAATGCTGGCAACATATCTTCAGAGTTGTTTTTAGAAGAAGTGGTGAAATAATTTGTCCAGGGAACTTTGGAGATGTGGAAAATAGATCCAAGTCAGGATTCCTTCAGGGAATGAGGTTCTGCCTCCAGCCCAGGCAGTTCAGCTGATTGACCTCCAATTACTCAGGGCTGCTTTGTTTAACCAGGGGCATCTCTGCCCTTGCAGGGACAGAGCTCCTCTGCTGCCCTGACAATCAGCAAAAATTAAAAACCCAGCAGAAAAATTTGCAAAAAAAAAGCAGCTTAATTTTTACCTAACCAAATATCCAGCCTATGTAATATCAAGTGTTAATGGGAAATTCTGCACCAAGTGTTTGATGTGCCTGTGCCCAGGATGGAGAATGAGCATTTCTGAGGTGCTGCAGGCTGTTTGTGGAGCTCAGGAAAGGATCAGCTGGGCCTGTGTCCCTTTTCTTTATGGTTGTGAGGATCAGCAGTGGCTGGGGTGGTGGCACAGCCGCAGGCTCTGGGTGCAGCTCCTGGTGCTGTGGTGGCACCAACACAAGTTCATGAGAGGGCGAATCTGCTTCTTTTAAGACTTTTTATTCCTTCTTAAAGCAAAATAGAAAGTGGAGTTCTTGCTGTTCTAGCTGGTGGTTGTTATTTGGCCTCAAAATTGCTTTTTAATCAGAGGAACATGCTCAGATTACCAACACTGCTGATTTTTAGCATCGCACAAAAGCCACATCATGGAACCATGGAATGGTTTGGGTGGGAAGGGAACCTTAAATCCACCCAGTGCCACCCCTGCCATGGCAGGGACACCTCCCATTGTCCCAGGGTCCTGGGAAAGGAAGAAACCATTTAATACAGAAAATGGGGGGAGCAAACTAACAAACTTAAGAACACACCACAGCAGCCAGGGATCCAGGGGCAGCCACAGCTGCTCTGGGAATTCCATCCCAGCCCTTCCCCACCCTCCCAGGGATAAATTCCTTCCCAATATCCCATCTAAACTTGCTGTCATTTTCCAAACCTGGAAAATGAAATTTGAGATAAATTTCAGGATGTAGGATGTAATATAAAAGTGGATTTTTGTTGAAGGCTTTCAGGGACAGTTATGGGAAGATGCCTACAAAAGTCTTCCATCCCAGTGGGGAGTAGATTTTTATATGTTTTAGGAAATTAGCATAATTGGTCAAAGGGCTTATTGGGAGGAGAGGTGGTGGTGCAATTTTCTCCGGGTAAAGTCCCTGTTCTGGAGTACTGAGCTGTACTTTATCCATGAAATTTATCTTGAAGAGTTGTTCTCAACCTTGGTAGTTCGGGAGAACCAACACAGCATAGGGGTCTTGTGTTTCTCAGGGCTTGGAATTCTGGAATTTGTGCTGGTTTATGTTTAGGGAAAAGTCATGCAAAGTTACTTGGTACATTAGGTATTAATATAATAGGTTACAGAGCTCCAAATAAATGTGCAGAGAATACAGAGGACATAAAAAAGAAAAAAAAAATGCAAAAACCAAAATGGCATCAAACCCACTCTCCTTGAGATGTGCAGAGGAATTCACACAAAGCACAATGTCCATTTGCTGTGCTCTTCCTTATGGGAAAACCCCACTCCTGGTTTATATTTGCTCTTATCCTCTCTAAGAGAAGCAATTCCTGATTTTCATTTCCCCTCTTCAGACCTTTCAGAAGCTGACATTCAAACTGTCCCTGCTATGAACCCGAGACTTGTAAAATGTTTTTTTTTCCAAGCTATTGATCAGCTCCTAAAAGCTCTAACTAAAGATACAACATTTAAAACCTGGAGATGAGTTGGGGAAGGCCTTTATTTACTGAGGCCATAAAGAAGAGTCAATAGCTGCCTTCAGAGGGACGTGGCTCTGCTCTTTATAGGTAAAGCCATAAACACCCTGTGCTGGTGCCAGCTTGGGTTGGTTTTTTTCTTTAAAGTTGTTTTCCAGTTGGGACATTTTCATTCATCTCTGTAGCCCTGCAAGCAGCTGGAACTGGATGATCTTTAAGGTTTTCCCAACCCAAACCATTCTATGATTTGATGGTCTTTAAATGCATAATAATTCTAGATTTCCACATACTTAAAAGCATATTTGCTGGTATAAGGCTGACTTGTTAAGCTGATGAAAATGAATACTTACATCCTTGGATGTAATTATTTAAAAATGAGATGATTTTTGGATGATGAGTTTGAAATCCTGATCTCTCAACTGCCACATTCAGCTGTGCTTGGTTTTAGCATCTTTGCAATTCTCAGTCTTCACTGCTTACAGTGATATATTCGTTTTCTAGTTGGATTTAATTCTTGATTAAATTTCCTTAAAGCAGTTTTTCCTTACTGAGTACTTTTAGCTTTTCAGAGATGATTTTTGCATATTTTCTATTATTTCCTTCTTTGAGTGATCCTGTTAGAATTCCCTGAAAGCCCCAAGAACACTCCATGGTGTCCCAGTGTTTGGTTTCCATCTGGCAGTTTCAGAGCTCTTTAGCCAGGACTGAATTATGTGAGTGTTAGAACAGTGTAAATTCAATTATTTCTCTAAAAATTAAACTCCTCATGAAAGAATTTTGTTGTTGATACCTCAGGGCTTTGGACTTTCGCTTTCTTGTTTTCACATAATTATCTACACAAACACTTGCATGGAATTCATCTCTTCACTCCAGCAAGGATTTCACTACTGGCACAGCACTGCCATGCAGATTTTAGGCAAGGGGGTTGATTTTCAGGGCAGACTTCCTGAAAAACGGAGTTTCCATCAGTTTTGGCTCCTGGGAATGATTTGGGAGCAGAGTCTGGATCCCAGGAAAAGGAGAGAGCAGAGTTCTGGGTGATGATGCTTTCCTTGTGCCATGCAGTGTTTGAGTAAGCTGCTTTTTTTCCTTCCTCCTAAAAGTAGTTTAGAAACTATTCCCATGTAGGAGAGAGACCAAAACTTTGCCCTTCGTTAGTAAACCAGTTGTTATTTCTGATAAAAATAAATCCTTTCAAATGTCAAGTCTTTCACAAGGCAGAGTTTCCTACAGAAAATCTGTCGCCTTTTTGGAGAAATGGAAGTTGGGTTTGGCCTGGTGGGCTCCCAGGGTTACTCCTGGGGTTTCAGCCTGTTTTGGATGTGATTGTTCTGGTGTCCACTGAGGAGGAGCCATTGCTCCACAACTTCATCCTTTTAACCCTAAATCCTGTATTTTCTGTTTCCATCTGGGTGTGCAGAGCTCGGGCAGGTCATGGAATCCCAGAACCCCAGACTGGTTTGGGTTGGAGGGGACCTTAAATCCCACAAAATTCCATGGGCAGGGACACCTCCCACTGTCCCAGGGTCCCCAAGCCCTGTCCAACCTGGCCTCAAAGGTCCTGGAGCAAGGATGGATGGAGGTGAGCTCAGTTCCTCTGCCTGCATCTCCCCTTGGAAAGGAGATCTCATCTCCAGTTTTTCACACATTTTTCCATATTATTTTCAGGAGACTTTCATTTCCTGTCAGGTTAATTTTTTTTTTTAGCATTCTGGGTACAACCTGAGCTTAACCTCAATTAACACTCCCAAGCATTAAAATATCATAATGAAGAGCAGCCATTTTGCTGACATGGGCTGGCAGGAACTAAGAATAGGCCGCAATTTTCAGAGCAGCCCAGGGGGATTACACTCTCTAAATCCCTGTGAAACACACAATTTGTGCACCTGCTGGAGGCTTTTTTTAAAAAAAAACCACCAACTTAAACATCAAAATCTTTGCATTTCTATATTTTTTTGCTTGTGTAAATTAGAGAGACTCCATTGAGCTAGGAGAGGGAAGCTTAGATCTGTGTATGCTGATTTTTTTTTTTTAATGGGCATCTATTAAAATAAAGAAAAAACTCCTAGCAATGATTTAGAAGGATTGATCTGTTAGATCTGGAGTCCCCTAATGGCAGGATTTTCCAGAAGTGGCTGTGATGGGTACAGAGCAGCATGATCTTGATGTTCCTCACACTTTTGATGGATTATTACCAGCAAGGAAGATGAACAGACTTCAAGAATTGTTTTTGGTTGATGTTTGTTATTTAAATATAGTGAAACAAATGATCTTAGGCAGGCAGTGGGCCTTTGAAGTGTGTTTGATGTGACAGTTCTGGCCTTGCTCAGAGGAAGTGCAGGCCCTGCTTCTCCTCAAGTCTTGGTATTAATTGGAGTTGTTTTATTATTTCCCAGAGCTGCTGAGACAACTCATCACACAGCTGGTTAAACCTACTGATCCCAGAATCCCAGAGTGGTTTGG